GCCATTGCACTCTAGCTTAGGTGATAGAGTTAGACTCCATCTCAAAAAACAAAGAAACAAAGCCTGGGAATAACAGTGATGTTGCTGTTATGAGGATTAGATGTTAGTATTTTTGTACAGCTTCTCAGTGGGAAAGCTGGCATATAAGCTCAGGAATCTCTGACTCTCAATTACGTGCTCTTAGCCACACATCAGACTGGTAGAGGCTGTGACCAAACAGTTTACGGCTAGTGAAATGAGAGATAGGATTCTTTATAGCACACTGTGTAGGAGAAGTCATCATGGTGCAGCTGTGGGTTCTCATTTCCTTGTCTCTCTGAGTGTTCTTAAATTATTTAGTCACTTTCAATATTAATTGTTGAAAGAGATATTAATAGAAGTAGTATTACCTAGATTTCAATTCATACCCTATTCTATTTCAATAGAGGTAATAATACCTCTATTAATAATACATCTGAGAGTTGTAAAATTAAAGAAGCTATTTTATGTAAGTGATCTTGCACAGTCTTTTGCCCCAATAAATATTTCTGAGTAAATGAATAATAATTGGGATAATAACCAGTGAACTGATTCCTCATATAAAATTATAAATGAATAATTATCATACTAAACCAAAGCTGGTTGTTCATATAAAAAATGAATACTAGGTGACCTTTGGAAGACCTTTGGTCTTCCAGGGGAAGAATTTTTGTAATAAGCTTGGTTCTTTCCCCAGAGGACTAAAATATTGAATAAGTGGCACAGAACATCTACCCACAGTATAAACTTCCTGTAGAATTGCAATGCCCCTGGCAAACTAATATGCCCAGCCCTGGACAGAGCACAACGTCAACTAATCCAATCTGATTTGTCAGTCTTGGCCCCATCGTTTGATGTTTTTGGCCCACTTGATGAGCCCAAGGGCCTGTGGTGTGGGCGAATTGATCATTTTCATTAGAGGAGGCCGGGTATTGGAAGCAAGTTCCTTGTATTCAGTCTGCCTCGTTGGGAATCATGACAGCAGGTAAAAACTCTTAGCCCAGTTTTTTATATTTCCTTCTCCTCTTCCTCTTTCTCCTCCTTAAATCAAGGCTGAGATTCAGGTGACTTGAGTTTTATTTTCAGCTCTGTTGATGACCATATGGCTTCAGAAAATCACTCAGCTTTTCTGGGTTTCATTTTTCTTAATCTAGAAAATGGCACCATATCCTTCTATTAGGTCCAGGGGTAATAGAAGATTAGTATAGAGCCAAGGTCAACAAACTTTTTATTTATTTTATTTTTTGTAAAAGGCCAGATAGTAAATATTTTAGGCTACATGGGCCACAGAAGATGCTCTTGTTTATTTTTTGTTTTTTTTACAAGCATTTAAATTTGGAAAAGTCATTCTTAGCTGTATCACAGGCTATAATTTGCTGAGCCTTGGTATATATATACAATATAAGAATTTTAGACTTGGAAGAGATCATATTCAGTAACCCCATTGGATGGCAAGAAAACAGTGGCAGCCCCAAATAATTAGTGACCTTTCTGTTGCTTCATACTTTTAAAAAGTCAAGGTGGTAGCTGGGTGTGGTGGCTGTAATTCCAGCCACTACTGCATGATTCTAACCCTTCTGCTGAAACTAAATACATAAATAAAAAAGTAGGAATACAGGCCAGGTGTGGTGACTCATGCCTGTAATTCCAGCACTTTGGGAGGCCAAGGTGGGTGGATCACCTGAGGTCAGGAGTTCGAAACCAACCTGGCCAACATGGCAAAACCCTGTCTCTATTAAAAGTACAACAGTTAGCCAGGCATGGTGGCAGGTGCCTGTAATTCCAGCTACTTGGGAGGCTGAGGCAGGAGAATTGCTTGAATCCGGGAGGTGGAGGTTGTAGTGAGCTGAGATTGTGCCACTGCACTCCAGCATGGGTGACAGGGTGAGACTCTTGTCTCAAAAAAAAAAAAGGGGTGTTGAATAATTGCAAGGGATTTTTTTATTGTTTATATTAGTCACATTTCAAGTCATATTTGCCTTTATTTCAAAGTGCCATTACAAATGAGCACAAGCAAATTGTGACAACTGAAAAAAAAACAGCTTTGGAAATCTTGAGAAAGAGGAATTAGTTTTAGAAATTTGATTCTTCCAGAAATCTTTTCTGAAGAAAAATTCCCTGCTCAGAAACACAAGGTATATAAACACATCACTTTTGTTTATGGTGTGTGTGTGTGTGTGTTCTTTGTTTTGTGTTGTTTTTTCCTCTCTCCTCCTCTCAGTCCCCAGTTTTAAGTTGGTATAAAAACTTTAAGTAGTCTATGTATTCCAAAAGGATTTTAAGGTGAGAGAAGGCTTGCCATTAAAATCTTAGAGTCATGTTTATATCTGTATTTGTATTCCTCCTCTTTTTTTTGGTTTTGTTTTGTTTCATTTTTTGAGACCAAGTCTTGCTCTTGTCACCCAGGCTGGAATGCAGTGGTGTGATCTAGGCTCACTGCAACCTCTGCCTCCCAGGTTCAAGTGATTCTGCTGTCTCAGCCTCCCAAGTAGCTAGGATTACAGGCTCCCACCACCACACCTGGCTAAATTTGTATTTTTAGTAGAGATGAGGTTTTACCACGAACTCCTGACCTCAGGTGATCCACCCACCTCGGTTTCCACATTGGCTAGGCTGGCCTTGAACTTCTGAACTTAGGTGATTCACCTGCCTTGGCCTCCCAAAGTGCTGCGATTACAGGTGTGAGCCACTGCACCTGGCCTGTATTCCTACTTTTAAATTTTATTTATGTATTTAATTTCAGCAGAAGAGCTAGAATCGTAATACCTGACAGTTGGGAAAAAATATCTCATTGGCAAAGGATTCTTTTCCCTCTCCCTTTCATCCTTCCCTTTTCCTGTCTCTTTCCATTTTCCTTTGCCTTTTTCTGGCATGGAATGTACTTCCAGAGAAACTTAATCTATACCTATCTGCTCACTCTCTTTTTTTGACAGCACCAGGATTCTTTTGTTTTTAGCCTTTAGTTGTTCTTTTCGTTTGATCACATTAACAATATGTTTCTTGGCATTTGCTATGTTTTTCTTTTTCTTTTTCTTTTGTGAGACAGAGAGTCTCACTCTGTCACCCAAGCTGGAGTGTAATGGCACGATCTTGGCTCACTGCAACCTCAGCCTCCTGGGTTCAAGTGATTCTCCTGCCTCAACCTCTCGAGTAGTTGGGATTACAGGAGCGCACCACGATGCCCGGCTGATTTTTGTATTTTTAGTAGACATGGCATTTCACTGTGTCTGCCAGGCTGGTCTCAAACTCCTGACCTCAGGTAATCCACTTTGGCCTCCGAAAGTGCTGGGATTACAGCTGTGGGCCACTGCACTCAGCCGGCATTTGCTACTTTTATCGTACTACTTTTGGTACATTTCTTTTAGGAAAATGCCTGTCTCAGCTCCTAGTTCTGTGGACAGCCAAAGCCAAACATTTTTCTCTTAAGTAAATTTGATACCACAGGAGAGATCACTGAAGTAGTAGAAATAAATACTCAGGAAGTGACTATAGAAACAAAATCAGCAAACCTCTGGCTCCTAAGAGGACCCTGGAATTGTGTATGTGTGCTATGTATGGTAAAAATATTGCTGGGCTTGATGTGACACCCTGGCAGAGTAGACAGAATGCAGAGCTGGAAGTCAGGAGACCTGTGGCAGCTGTGGGCTGAGGGGAGTTACTTCATCTCTCTGGACCTTCTGTCCGTCTGTAAAAGAAGGGACTAGGTTTGAAATTCCTGTTTCTATGAATTTTGTGACTTAACACAACATATGCCATTACTATTTGTTTCTTAAAACAATTGTGAGATGTGTGGTGGAATAATTATATACATTGGTGCTCTTGGATGAAAGAAGTTTGAGACTTACTGCTATAGGTATTGATCGACTTATGACCTATGCAACTTACGACCATTTGACTTTACGACCACAATCGCTAGCCATGACTGCTCCGCATCTGGCAGCACAAACGTTGCCCAGCTGGGCGTACAACAGTGCAGACCAGCTTCTGGCAGCACTACCATCTCCGTGTGTACCATTTCAACTGTACATATAGCCTACTCAACTTACGACCAAATCGTGTTACGACCGGTCTGCTGGTCCCAATCGTGGTTGTAACTCGAACACTAGCTGTATATCACAATGATCTATATCAGCAGTTCCCAGCCTTTCTGGCACCAGGGATTGGTTTTGTGGAAGACAGTTTTTCCCTGGACTCGGTGGGGGGATGGTTTTGGGATGATTCAAGCACATTACATTTATTGTGCACTTTATTTCTATCATGATCACATTGTAATACATAATGAAATAACGATACAACTCGCCATAATATAAAATCAGTGGGAGCCCTGAGCTTGTTATCCTGCAACTAGACGGTCCCATCTTGGGGTGATGGGAGACAGTGACGGATCATTAGGCATTAGATTTTCATAAGGAGTGGGCAACCTAGGTCCCTCATATGCACAGTTTACAATAGGGGTTGTGCTCCTATGAGAATCTAATGCCACCGCTGATCTGACAGGAGATGGAACTCAGGCGGTAATGTGAGCAGTGGGGAGTGGCTGTAAGTACAGATGAAGCTTCTCTCCTTCATCTACCACTCATCTCCTGCTGACTGGTATTAGTCTGTGGCTTGTGGGTTGGGTACCCCAGTCTAAATAATTGCACATATATGGCTCATATGAATTAGATATTTACTGTATGCCAAACATTCTGGTAAGCATTTTGCTTGTATTATCTCATTTAATACTCATTCCTGGTTCACAATGTAGGTATGTTAATATCCCCATGTTAAAGGAGAAATGGAGCCCCAAATGGATTAAGTAATTTAAACCCAAATATAATTTATTTCAAATCCCCTCTTATTCACACTCATATGCTACTTGAGTTTACTCATGAACTTCCACTTTCTTCTTAAGGAAAAACATCCCCCATGGCATGTGATTTGGGAAGGACATAGTGGACTCCATAGCTTATGTTTTTTCTGTTCCCCCTTATCTTTCTTAGGCCACCTCGAGATTTAGACTCCAAGGCTTGCATTTCTATTGGAAATCAGGTAAGAAAAATCATGTCTGCCAGCTAATACCGTGGCCATTTTATATGTATGCTTTCTGACTGAAAAATGTATTTTCCCTAGCATGCTGTCGGGATGGGTTAAAAAAAAGTTTGCATTTAAAAGGAAGTGGTATGTAAAGTTTTTGCTATTTTGAAAAAATGTTGAATTGAAATCAGGCTGTTGTGGTTTTGATGGAAGCTATTTAAAGAGAGTAGATGATTCTCTTGGGAGGGCGTTTCTCAAAGTTCAGACATAATCTATTTGCCATCAGTCGATAATGGGTTACAGACAGAATGAAGGGTCATGGCTAAAGAATTGCAGTCAACTGAGCCATTGGCAAGCTGAGTCAAAGTTGGGTTTCTGTGTTGTGTGGGACAAGCAGGTGGGCTACTGTGGCAGCTCCTAGACATCTCTTGGCCCTTCTTGTAGCTTCTTGGTTTCAGAGACTGCTTTGACATGCTAGAAAATCTTCTGGCCCAGAAACAAACCTTAGAACATTGAGAGAAACGAGATAGAGGACAATGAGCTCTCTGTTCTGTTTATTTTTCTCTTTCCCATTGCATTATTCCTTTCCTCTCTTGCAGAACTTTGAGGTGAAAGCAGATGACCTGGAGCCTATAATGGAACTGGGACGAGGTGCATACGGGGTGGTGGAGAAGATGCGGCACGTGCCCAGCGGGCAGATCATGGCAGTCAAGGTAGAGTTGACATTCTCCCAAGTGTTTTATATCTGCTGTGTATATTTTTGTCCATCTCAATTGTCATCCAGCCCTTTTAATAGAAGCAAAACCATCTTCAGTAGGGTAAAACAGAACAGATTATTTGCAGGGAAGAGTATTTTCCTCCAAAGGTATAGAAAAGGCTTTTTTTTTTGGTATGAGTTGTATCTATTTTTTTTTTAACCCTTAAGTCTCCCTCCACCCATTCTTCCACCATTTTTAGTTTTTACAAAACTACCATGTCAACATCACACTTAAAATTAATTAATGATACTTCATCTAATCTGCAGTCCAAATGAAAATTTCCTTGATCATCTCAAAGTGTGTATGTGTGTTTTATCTTGTTGGATTTTTCAATCAGCATCCCAATGAAAGTTTACATATTGCATTTGGCTGTTATGACTCATAAAACTCTTTTATTCTGTATTTTGTTGCTTTTAAAGAATTGTCCCTGAAAATCAAGAAATCAGAATTGAGAGAGAAAATTGTCTCCATTTGTGAAAAAAAGGAGGGTAAAATATATCTAGAGTAAATTTGCATAGTTTTTGAGCTGTGAAAGGAAGTTTAATCTTTTCATATTATTGTGTAGATGCTGGGAGGATTGTAAAGAATTAACATCTCTAGTTGAATTAATAGATTTGGGCCATTGTTAGGAATGATCAGGTGACTTGGATCCCTTTGCTTTTGAAGAATGGAAATACTTTTATCTTTTAGATTTTCCAGTCTGTTCTTCTGCTGACTTGCTAAGTAGGCAAAAAGTTTGAAGGCCTAGTGATATTGTATGTCTCCTATCCTTTAGTGACATAATCATGTTTCTGTAAGGCTACATTTGCTAGTGTGACAGATTTCTCTCAGAAGCACTGGGATAGGAATGAATGGTTTCTTCATTTCTGTTGAATTCCTTCTATTTCCTATAACTGTACCAATTCTCTTACAGTTGCTGTTCACTCCAAATACTCTTACATGTTCCCAAAGAAGAGCTTTTGGCTTTTTATTTTCTTAGGATCCCAGATGAGCAGCAAAGTAGTTAATACTATGTCCTCTTTGCACTGAACAGACATAAGAGAGTAAACTAGGTTGTTTTTGTAACTTGGAAATACATTCCAAAACATTTTATCACCCTCCAAAACAGTATCAATTTGTTTCTTACCAGTGCTATTCAGGAAATCAAATGTGTAGCATTCTTCCTTATTTTCAATTGTTACAAATAGCTAATTGCTTAGGATGGATATTCACAATGTTGTTGCTAGAAGTTGTGTTATGAACTATACTATTTTGATGGGACTCCTTTGGGTCCCTGCCTGCCTCATCATCAGAGCAGTAACTATAAATTTTCCATGCATTTCCATTCAGCGGATCCGAGCCACAGTAAATAGCCAGGAACAAAAAAGGCTACTGATGGATTTGGATATTTCCATGAGGACGGTGGACTGTCCATTCACCGTCACCTTTTATGGCGCACTCTTTCGGGAGGTAGGTGACCCTTCAATTCGAAGTCCAAGAAGAGCAGTAAATGAAAAAAAGTTCCTTTGATCATGTAAATGCCATGCACAATCATGGAGCTCTTTCTTGTTTGACACATCTTGTTTAGGGGGGTTTACATGTGTGCAATGATGACATGCTCTGGGGCAAGGTTGGATTGAAATTATGGTATTTTCTTTTCTTTTTTTTTTTTTTTTTTTTTTGAGACAGAGTCTTGTTCTGTCACCCAGGCTGGAGTACAGTGGCGCAATCTCAGCTCACTACAGCCTCTGCCCCCCGAGTTCCAGTAATTCTCCTACCTCAGCCTCCTGGGTAGCTGGGATTATAGGCATATGCCACCACACCTGGCTAATTTTTGTATTTTTAGGAGAGACGGGGTTTTGCTATGTTGGCCAGGCTGGTCTCGAGCTCATGACCTCAGGTGATCCGCCCTCCTCAACCTCCCAAAGTGCTAGGATTACAGGCATGAGCCACCACACCCAGCCTACATTATGGTATTTTCAAATGTGATTAGCCTTTTTAAGAAGCTGAGATTCTCTTTTCCTTTCTTTCTTGTTTTGTTTATCTTGGCAGAACTTTCTATATTGCCTATAGACTGATTTGCAAAGATCCCTTATAATTTGAAATATTCTGGTCTTTTGACTGCTTTATGAGCTTCACCTAACCTGCTTGTGTACTATATAGACATACTTTGATCTCTTTTCTCTACCTCTGTTTTTCACTTTACCATTATATGGATTATGAGGCTTCACCTCATTAAAACCAGCTTTTTGACTGACTATTGCTGGGGCTTAGTGTGGGAAATCCTACATGGAGTAGGCATTTAGAGCTAACTCCTAGAGAGTGGTATCAGTAAAGGCTTGGATTTCTGGGGTTGTATTGCTTATGTCTGTTAGTAATTAGGTTCAATTTTCCACTGAGGGGTAGGAGATCACATGCAGATTCTGCTTGGCTACCTACTGGTTTTCTCTTTGGAGAAAACCTTGCTTATTTGTAAATTCCTTTATGATCTTGACAGAAAACAATCTATTTCCCTGCAAAATTCAAAAACGAAATAGTTAATTTTTCAGGACAAGTGTTTACTGTTGTTGTTGTTTTTTTTTTTCTCCTTTCTCCCTTTCTCATCTTTTTAAACAATTCCTGGACCAATTGGCTTCCAGGGTGATGTGTGGATCTGCATGGAGCTCATGGATACATCACTAGATAAATTCTACAAACAAGTTATTGATAAAGGCCAGACAATTCCAGAGGACATCTTAGGGAAAATAGCAGTTTCTGTGAGTACATTATGAGCCTTACTGCAAGGATAATGTGAGAAATAAAGTTCCTATGTGTCTTTGTACCTCAGTATAAAGAAATACTCCCTGGACCACAGCTACTATTTGTACATGTCTGTTGAAGTTCATTGGTGGATGGATAAATACATGCTTTCCTTTCTGAGCACTGTGTAGAAGATTCTAGCACTGCTTTGGTTTGGCGGACTCTTAAATTAAATGACTCTAAGCAGTGCATTCATCAGCTAGGACCACATTCCTGGTGTCTATATTCTGACATTAGTTTATTTTGATTTTCATTTATGGATTTTTAAAGTGTTCTCTTAAGACTAGTAGGCATAGAAGGAAGCAGAGGAAAATAAATAGAAAGAAGGTCTGCTACCTTCATGGCTCTTCAGGCTCAGGAGGGTGGAGAGAAAAAGAATGAGGGCAAGTGAGCAAGACAGATGAGGGAGACATCCTCTCTGATATAAGATATAGTCCTCTCTGGTGAGTGGAGTCCAATTTATGTAACTTCCTGTGTATTTTCCTAGATAGGCCCACCACTATTTAAGAAAATATCTCACCGGTAATCTAAAGCCAAGGAAAATAAACCTTGATATACTTAACTTTCAATTTCTTCCCAGGGATGTGATAAATAAATCTATCTTGTGTTTTTCTTGCAGATTGTAAAAGCATTAGAACATTTACACAGTAAGCTGTCTGTCATTCATAGAGGTAAGCATCCATGAGCTGCCTTGGCTGTTCCTTTGATAAAGTTCATTTCTTCCACCTGGAGTCCCTCTCTACCCCAACCCCCCGTGGATGGAAGTAGAATTGACTTCCATCTAAGGCAAGAGAACTATGGGGCTTTCCTTTATGATTGGATAGCAAACAATGTAAGTAGTATTCCTTACTGTGGCTGAGGACATAAGAAGAAGACATGATCTTTATATTATACCCAAATTGACTGCAAACCCTTGTTAGCAAGCAGAGCTGTGGGAGTACATCTTTGGAAACTTTAGAGAACACGATAAAAATTGATCTTGTATTGGCCATCGCATGAGAGCTCATTGGAAAAGAATCATGGGTCTCAAGACCAAATACATTGGAATTTGCATTTTAACAAGATTTCCAGGTGATTCTTGTGCACATTAAAGTGTGAAAAACTCTGGTATAAAGCAGAGCGTTTTCAGACAACAGTAGGCAGGATAAAATGATTTATCTCTTCCTCCTTCCTTTTATTCCTTTTTATTGGCCTGTTATTTCTTCAACCATCCATTCATCCATCCACATATTCATTCACTCATCTTTTATCCACCCATTCATCCATTTATTCATTTTTTTAAATCACTTTTAAAATGTAATAGATGTCCTGAGAAGTATCTGAGAAGAAAATATATTCTTATTAAATTATGCATCAGGATTTTTATAGGGAAGTAAGATTAAAAAAAACCCCACCTTAGAAATATGAAAGTACCAAGCTAGGTGCCATGACTCATTCCTGTAATCCTGGGATTTTGGGAGACCGAGGTGGGTGGATCACCTGAGGTCAGGAGTTTGAGACCAGCTTGGTCAACATGGCAAAACCCCATCTCTACCGAAAATACAAAAATTAGTTGGGTGTAGTGGCAGGTGCCTGTAATTCCAGCTACTTAGGAGGCTGAGGCATGACAATTGCTTGAACCTGAGGCACTCCAACCTGGGTGACAGAGTGAGACTCCATCTCAAAAAAAAAAAAAAAAAAAAAAAAAATCAAGTACCAAATATAGAAGTAGTATAGATAATGTAAAATAAGTAAGTGCTATCACTTAGTGATTGTAGTCAGGGAAACTTCTAGGAAGAGATACCCTCAACCATGTCTTTGGGAAAAATAATGAAATGTATTGGTAAGTAATAGAGCATTGTGGTTTGGGTAATTCTTAAACTCTCTGAGCCTGGAAATAATGTAAAATGCCTTGCACAGTGTGTCTATTATTATTGGTTGTTATTAATAAAAATTGGAAAAATAGGATGAAGGAAGATGAGAAGAAAATGGGAAAGAATACAGAATACAGATAGGAAAAAGATTGTTGATTATTCACAACTTTGAAATTAACATGAAGGGTTATTTCACAATTAGGAAATATGTAATTCATATTAGAGAATATATGTAAGGTATAAAAATAATAAAATGAAATTTGTATATCTGCCAGCTTAAGGGGAAAATTATAAAGGATAATTTTAAAGCTTTTGTAATACCCTTTAACTTCTAATTTTATGGGCTTTGTGAAAAGTATTACAGAGGGAAAAATTTAACTGTAATTTCAAAATTTATTGTCCAGAGATAATCATAGTCTCATTTTTTGGACATATGGGCAGGTGGGTTAAACCTTTCTAGTCAAAAGAATTCATTTAAAATCTGGTTTGTAATGCTGCTTGTTCAGTAACTTGCCCTTTGGTCCGGAATACCTGGATTTCTGTTGCTTTACATTTTGTGATCTTTGACACATTACTTACAGATGCTTTGGGCCAGGCTTGGTGGCTCACACCTGTAATCACAGCCCTTTGGGAGGTGGGGTGGGAGGATTACTTGAGGCCAGGAGTTTGACACCAGCCTGGTCAACACAGAGACCTCCTGTCTATCAAAAAAAAAAAAAAAAAATAGGTGGGAATGGTGGTGCACACCTATAGTCCTAGCTACTCAGGAGGCTGAGGCAGGTTAGGATGATTTGAGCCCAGGAGTTTGAGATTGCAGTGAGCTATGATCACACCACTGCATACCACTTGAGTGATAGAGCAAGACCTTATCTTGAAGAACAAAACCAAACCAACCAAAAACAAAAGCAAAAAAAGGTTGCTTTGGTCATATTTGGTTTATCATTGTGTCACAGTCTGCCTTTTTGTTCTTTGGTTTATTACTCCTACATTAAATATCAATAGATCATTTTGAATTGAGTATTTGATTCAGTAATAATTTTTTAGGCTCTTACTACAAGTATGAGGGCAATGAAGGTCATAAAATCAGTGGAGAAAATGTTCTTTGTATTGAGAAATTCATGGTTCTACAAGGAATGAACAAAACATGCAATAGAAAATCAGATTGAAAGCAATAAGCAGTTTATAACTACGAGTCAGAGATGGCAGTTACTTCTGTGTTGGACAACTTGCGAAGATGAAGGACAAATGGAGTTTTTAGGCCCTCTGGTGGTAGAGAAATGAATCTTGAAAGCAGGCTGGAATGATGGGATCCTGGTTGTTTTTGCTTTCAGACGTCAAGCCTTCTAACGTACTCATTAATGCTCTTGGTCAAGTGAAGATGTGTGATTTTGGAATCAGTGGCTACTTGGTGGACTCTGTAGCTAAAACAATTGATGCAGGTTGCAAGCCATACATGGCCGTAAGTACCTTAGCTAGGGTGACATCTGGTCATGTAACTGCTGAAAAATCATGCTGGGAAATAAGAGATGGATGGCCACAGAGGGAAAATGGAAATGTGCATAAGACTCCAGAAGTAGTCTGCCTCTTAGTTTTTCTTAAACATTTCCTGTCTGAAATCTTTAGTCACTTGCTTCATATATTGTCTTAGTTTGTTCAGGCTACTATAGCAAAATAACGTAAGCCAGGCAGCCTATAAACAACAGAAATTTATTTCTCACTGCTTTGGAAGCTCGGAAATCCAAGAGCAAGGCACCAGAAGATTTGGTGTCTGACGAGGGCTCACTTTTTTCAGGATCATACATAGCACCTTCCTGCTTAGTCCTCACATGGTGAAAGGGGTGAAGGATCTCTCTAGGGTTTCTTTTATAAGGACACTGATCCTGTTCATTAGTGTTCCACCTTCATGACTTAATCACCTCCCAAAGGCCCTGCCTTCTGATACCATCACATGTGTGATTGGGTTTTAGCATGTGGATTTTGATGGGGCACAAACATTCAGACCATAGTTATTTATGTGTTACTTTGAAAAAATCAAGTGAAAGAGATATGTTATTTGAAAAAATATATACACAATACATATAGCCTGCACAGTTTTCCAGACTGTGTTGCAGGGGAGTATTACCTTGTTTGTTGAGGACAAAATAATAAGTAGAACTTAAACTACCCAAGCAAGGCAGTGAGGTTAGTCATGAGAGGACCTCATGGCTATGAAGATTCACTGCCATTAGCAGAGACCGTGGAATCCCCTTTAACTGAAGGAACGGACACTATATTCTATCTGGAAATAGACTTATGCTTTTATTTGAAAAGATTCCTGTCTGTGTTAGCTAAAAATTGCTCAGGTCTATTAGCATGGAACAGTAGCCCATTGACTCTTGTTTTACTTAGTTCTGGACTATTAATGTTTTTAACAAGGATAATTCTAGTTGGTCAAAGTAGCTTTATAACATATGCCCTATTTCTTCTTAAGGCGAATTTGAAATTTGTTATGAAGGGAACTTGATCCATTACTGTGTCCAAGAAAAGACAAACACAGAATAAGGGAAACCCCATGGAGACATTGATATTTATTGTAGTTAACTGGGTCTTTTGGCCTGGGAGGCATGTTAACAGCTTATAACAACTTACTTGGCAGCTGATGCTACCCCCATCCCCAGAGACTATTGAACTAAGAATGTTATCTCAATTGTCTTCCTAGTTTCTCAGTTGTCTGTCTCCTTTCCAGCCTGAAAGAATAAACCCAGAGCTCAACCAGAAGGGATACAGTGTGAAGTCTGACATTTGGAGTCTGGGCATCACGATGGTAGTGTATGCCAATCATCATGAACTATGAGGCTATGGGCATGAAACTTGAATGAAGTAGACATTGGGGCCAAGAAACAAATGCTCTAAATGCTGGTTTGGGGCACCCTCTCCTGCTGAGATGGCAGGAGATTTTGAGTAATAATTGTTTGTAGTGTGGTATAGTAGAAATACTGATATGGGATTGGGGAAACCAGTTTTTCTTTTGATTCCACTTCTGACAAGCTATATGCCTTTTTGAGTAATTGTTACAGTCACATGGACTATCTTCCTATCCTTGTCTGTAAAATAAGAGGGTCTGACTAGATTCCTTGTAGTTTAAAATTAAATTATTCAAGCCAAGGCAAGAAGCTTAAGCTATGCAAAGAATGCTAATCTGCATGAACCCTGATAGGGCTGTGATATCCAGGACATAGGGTATGCTTCCCAGGATATTTTTATTGGAGAAGTAGAAGTAAAAGTCTGATGAGGTCAGTGTATTGGTTCATTTTCACACTGCTGATAAGTGCATACCCAAGACTGGGTAATTTAAAAGAAAAAGAGGTTTAATGGACTTACAGTACCATGAGGCTGTGGAGGTGTCATAATCATGGCGGAAGGTGAAAGGTATATCTTACATAGCGACAGACAAGAGAGAATGAGAGAGCCAAGCGAAAAGGGAAACACCTCATAAAACCGTCAGATCTTGTGAGACTTTTTCGCTACCATGAGAACCACAGAACAGTAAGGGGGAAACTGTCCCTCATGATTCAATTGTCTCCTACTGGGTCCCTCCCACAACATGTAGGGATTATGGGAGGTACAATTTAAGATGAGATTTGGGTGGGGACACAGCCAAACCATATCAGTCAGGTATATCCTCAATATATGACAACCAATAGGATTATTTCCTTAGACACAGCCCTAAAGTTATTGACTTATTCAGATCTTATTCATAACTTTGGTGATCATAAATTTTATAACTTTGGTGGTCATACATTTTCAGTGTATCACCAAGGTCTGGAATTATCCACTGTGGTGCTGGCTCCTCCCCAGGCACAGCAGCTGAATAAATCCCGTGAGTTATTTCTCCTGCCTGCCCAGAAAACACATGATCCTGTAACGCAAAGTGGCCTTTTCTAAAGTCCAAAAAAAGATCAGTCATTTGGTCCTACGTTGCTTTCTTTCCCTTGTCATTTCACCAAGGCTCCTGCAGGTGGCAGTAGATGCTCAGCTCTGGAAAGGTCTTAGGCTGGGAATTACTTTTCAGACCAAACATTTGAAGTCCTGGTAGCTTTACATCCTGAAGTTTAATGCTGTTGGCTTGCAATTTTTATGAAGTACCACAGTAAGTTTTAGTGAGGGCCCTGGTTTTAGATAGGCTTAAGTGGCTGTGCCTAGTAAGTAATATTAAAAAATCCCTAGGACTGGGAATTTGGGGAAAGTTGCTGAAGAATAGATTATTAGTTTATTCTCTGCCCTCCCTTCCTGACTTATACTTAAATTTTGCTTTGTGTTTCCCTCTGGCTATCCACAAATGAAACACGGGTGATTCCCTAAAGCAGCCCTGTTGAAACTGGTGTCTCCTTGTTTCCTCTCTCCTCCAGATTGAGTTGGCCATCCTTCGATTTCCCTATGATTCATGGGGAACTCCATTTCAGCAGCTCAAACAGGTGGTAGAGGAGCCATCGCCACAACTCCCAGCAGACAAGTTCTCTGCAGAGTTTGTTGACTTTACCTCACAGTGGTAAGAGAGCCTCACCTCCCAAGTGTCAGTGCAAAAGAAGAAGAGTTTTCATGAGTTTCTTCCATCGGGGTTGAATCATCCTGCATACATTCATTCTGAAAGCATTTGTGGATTATGCCCTCTCTGCTGGAGAAGGAAAGATGACCATATCACGCTTGCTGCCCTCACTGAGCCCAAAGTCAAGTAGGGAAGTCTCATAAATGAATAATTATAGCATAATGTGGCAAGTCCAGTGATGGAGATAGGGGCATAGACAACTTAAGGAACTCAGAGGGAAGACCTCAGGATAGGCTTTTCTGGAGGAGGTAAATCTGGAGCTGAGTCCATGAGAGGTATTTTCCAAGCAAAAGGGAAATAGGGAAGGAAGGATATTCTAAACAGAAGGAACATCATTCACAATGTCACAAAAGCAAGAAACTCCTTCATATGAGCTTTAAGTAATTTGATGTTGATGAGAGCACAAAGAGAAAGCTGGATGGGACCCACTACAGGTCTGGGGATAGAGAGTAGAGGCAAAGAATTACTTTAGGTGAGAAAATAGACGGTAGTTTGAGAGTGTTTCTTAGGTCCGCAGAAGTCTTGTAGAACCTTGGCTGCTACTGAATACTTGCAAACTATGGAGAAACTTGTTTACAAGGGCATAATGGACAATGCTGGAGTTCTGGGAAGGGAATTCAAAGAAAGTTGGAATGGAAAGAGGGAGGGAACCATACTCATCTGGTAAACTATATTTCCATGAAAACTGCCAGGGCAGTCAAGAAAAGTAACAGAGGGGAAAGTAAACTCTAGACAAGTCATTTCTGTCTGCATAGAGGTCATGATGCCTAGCATGACTTGATAGTAATGATCATTGCAAGTGATGCTGGAAGCAGAATGCTGGAAGTGAAGCACACCACTAAGCCAGGTTAGCGTATGTGGCCATCCGGCAGAAGTAGAGGAGAATTGGGAGGAAGGGAGCTTGGAGATAGTGGCAAGCCCCACTGTGATCTTGGAGGGGAGCAGTTCTGAACACTTGCTGCTGGGGAAGGGCCTGGAGCTCTGAAGGCTGTTTGAGGTACTGAGGAAGGGGAAAGAACACCTTCCTCGTGGTTTCCTTCCTTGGCCTCCATGTTTTTTGGAAGTGCTGTGAGGCAGAGTACAGTGGCTCATGCCTGTAATCCCAGTACTTGGGGAGGCCAAGGTGGGTGGGTCACCTGAGGTCAGGAATTCGAGACCAGCCTGGCCAACGTGGTGAAAACCCGCCTCTATTAAAAACACAAAAAATTAGCTGGGCGTGGTGGTAGATGCCTGTAATCCCAGCTACTCAGGAGGCTGAGACAGGAGAATTGCTTGAACCCAGGAGGTGGAGGTTGCAGTGAGCTGAGATCATGCTACTGCACTCTAGCCTGGGCAACAAGAACAAAACTTTGTCTCAAAAAAAAAAAAAAAAATTGTTGTGAATACAGCATTCATCAGGAAACATGATGAAACAAAGCAATTGTCTGTTGCTTGTGAACCTAAGAACTCTTGGAATCTTTGTTAGCTCAAGGCCCCTTCTCTTGCCTAGTACTTTTCCCTAATGATATATGAGGCTGGCCTGCAGTTGTTTTTGTTTTTGGCTGGTTGAGTAGAGAGGGGCTGGACCCTCAAGTGGTAGTACAATATGTTGTTGGATGCCTCTTAAAATATGTATTCTCTAGGCCTCTTCTTATCTGTTTTCTTGAGGGAGTGTGCTGGATGTGTTTGTACCTCTGCCAAGTTGAAAGGGGTTCATGACTTTTGCCTTCTGGATTCAAAAACTTGGTTTTGTTGTTGTTTATTTATTTATTGCCTTATCCTCAAATGTTTAAAGGTCACATCAAAAAAGCGATGAGAGGTTGGGTGTGGTGGCTTATGCCTGTAGTTATAGCACTTTGGGAGGCCAAAGCAGTTTGATCACTTGAGGTCAGACGTTTGAGACCAGCCTGACCAACATGGTGAAAAGCCGTCTCTACTGAAAATACAAAAATTAGCCAGGTGTGGTGGCACACACCTTAGTCCCAGCTACTCTAGAGGCTGACGCAGGAGAATTGCTTGAACTCAGGAGGTAGAGGTTGCAGTGAGCTGAGATCACACCACTGCACTCCAGCCTGGGTGTTAAGAGAGAGACACCATCTCAGGAAAAAAATGGGATGAGGCATCTTTGGTAGTACAGAGCAGTAGTTCTTAAAAGAGGTGGTAATGAGGAATGATCTTATCTAGCTAAGTCTCTTCAAATTATTCTCCCTATTACCTTTCTTCCACCTGTCCCCTTTTCCCAAGATTCTGAGTACTTTAGGAAATTTTGGTAAGAATAAGGCTGCTATGAAAAGTTTGAGAAGGCTGAGTCTCCCATTGTGAATCACCAGTTTAATCCAATGGTTCTCAACTGTGGCTGCTCTTTTATAAAACTCTAGTGAGCTTTCAAAATCACTGTCCCCTAGGCCTCATCCTCATATACTCTGATTTAATTGGTATGGGGAGGGGCTAGGATACTAATTTTTTTTAAATGTTCTCAAGTGGTTTTTATGTACAACTGTGGTGATAACTCCATGTTTAGTCGTATGATCTATGGACCTCCTATCAACTACTTTCTGTTCAGAAGGCTTACTTTCTTCAATTTATTTTTTAAAATTATCCAATTGCTTTATTTTTCTTTTACCGGAGTATTTTTTCCCTTACTTAGAATTTTCCCCAGAGAATCAGAACATTGAAACTTTTTATAGATATTTTAAAAGTGAACACCTTGAGAAATTAATGTTTTCTAATTTTAATGCATGCACACATATGTGGAAGTTCCAGATACCTGCATCATTGCTCTTCATATAATGACTGCCCTGTGCCTACTTTCTCCTTATAATACCCATAGTGCCTTCATGGCCACCTGCTAAGGTATCCCCTTCTCTTTGGTTTTCTCTTAATTTTAGTCCCAGCCACCACAGTTCATTAATTAAAAAATTTTAGGCCAGGGTCGGTGGCTCATGCCTGTAATCCCAGCACTTTGGGAAGCTGAGGCGGGTGAATCATGAGGTCAGTAGTTCAAGACCGGCCTGGCCAACATAGTGAAACTCCATCTTACTAAAAACATAAAAAATGAGCTGGGCATGGTGGTAGGCACCTGTAATCCCAGCTAATTCGGAGGCTGACGCAGGAGAATCGCTTGAACCCAGGAGGCGGAGGTTGCAGTGAGCTGAGATCACACCATTGCACTCTAGCCTGGGAGACAAAGTGAGACTCTGTCTCAAAAAAAAAAAAAAAAAAAAAAAAATTTGAGCCATAGACATGTCCTAGCTTTCCTGAAACTGCTAATTCTATTAATACTGTTTACTCAGTGTCATTTCATTTCTACTCAAGTAAGCCAGTTTATCTTATATCTCAGTTTATTAAAAATAATACCCTGTTTCTACAAAAAATACACAAATTAGCAGGGTGTCGTGGTGCATACCTGGGGTCCCAGCTACTTGGGAGGCTAAGGAGGGGGAATTGCTTGAGCTTGGAAGGTTGAGGCTTCAGTGAGCCATGATTGTGTCACTGAACTCCAGCCTAGGTGACAGAGCAAGACCCTGCCAAAATAAGGTAAAATTAAATAAATAACATAATAAAATATAATATGAAAATAAAATATGAAAATACCTAGAAACAAAATCCAAGTCACTTTACCCTAGAAATCATTAAAAGATAAGTTTTCCTTCCTCAAAGTTTAAGTATTATAATTCTGGTAGAATGCTATACTTAAGAATATTGATTGTCTAAAATAGTGAGTCATTTTGTTGGTACGGGAATTAAGAAATAGAAGGGAATCATTAATTCTGAATTTTATAAGCATTCTTATCCTCAGTTTGACTTTTTCAGCATGCAAGCTCTTCCATTTCAGATCTCAGGTCGATAATTTTTTGCCTGCCACAAACCACCAATATATTTTCTTTGATGTCCCTTAAGGACAAACATTATTTTTCAACTGGGTTGAAAAAGTCATCTCATACTCAGAAAGTAGCACTGATTTGCTTTTACAGTTTATGACTGGCCTAGAACTATATGGAGGCAGTTTTATTTTTTACACATATATTAACATATGAGTACATACCTCTGCTCATTAGCAATCTAGTGATTTTATTTGTTTGATTACTGAAAGCTTTAGGTTTGATCTGGAGCATGGCGGAAAGAATGGAAAAGTGATTGTTAACAAAAGAGTTAAACTCTTCTACCTCTTGATGAATAGAGAGATTTTGTCTGTGCGTGTAACTCCCCATTATCAGCTATGCTTTTATTTTTCCGAGGAATAAAGCTGTATTATTGAGACATATCTTCATTAAAGGACCTTTTTGTGATCTTCATGGTTTTTATATTTTTATTACATAGACTGTGGTCCTCCCAAACTTTTTAGAAAACCCCAACTCTATGTTCTAAGCAAGGAAAGGGGACTACAGATTTGGAAAGTGAAATATTTAACCTCAAATTTCAAGATAGATATATCTATGTTTTTATCTCCTACACCTGTCTTTGGGTAAAAGTAGAAAAACAGCACATTACTCACAGCCTACATCACTGTCAGAGTATTTGTGAACTTGTGTATCCTGCCTAAGCATTCAATGTCATAATGCTGCTAGGTATCATGCACTTGCACCCAGGGAATCAACTTGGCTCGATGCCATCACCATGCTGCTAGGTACCATAATTCTGCATCCAAGGAATGAGCTTGGTAGCCACTCTTTTCTGGCCCATCAGTACTGATCACTGCTTGTTAGTTGACAGTAAATCACATAGTTTGTGGGGTGAAGTAGAAAAGCTCTTTTTTTTTTTTTTTTTGAGATAGAGTTTCACTCTTGTTGCCCAGGTTAGGGTGCAATGGCACAATCTCAGCTCACTGCAACCTCCGCCTCCTGGATTCTTCTGCCTCAGCCTCCTGAGTAGCAGGGATTACAGGCGTGTGCTACCACACTCGGCTAATTTTGTATTTTTAGCAGAGATGGAGTTTATCCAAGTTGGTCAAGCTGGTCTCGAACTCCTAACCTCAGGTGGTCTGCCTGCCTTGGCCTCCCAAAGTGCTGGGATTACAAGCATGAGCCACCACGCCTGGCTGGCCTATCATCCCCACACGCAAACTTAGACCTAGAGTCTAGAGTTCCAGTTTTTGCATTTCTTTTGCAGTAATATCTGACAAATGCTATCTTGAAGGAGAAAGAAGAATTAACCATATAAATGTAAAGGAAAAAAAGCAAACCCACAATGGTTTCTTACAAACACTCTTTGGTATTTATTTTGAGATAGGACTACAGAATGGGTTTTTCTTCCTCTTTTTCCTATATATCTCTTTCTTATCCTAGGAGTTTTAAGGAGTTCTTGGGTTATGTTGTGTTGACCATGTCAGCCTTGTTTTGGAATTTATAATAGAGAAGTCTAATAGAGAAGTCTTATATTCTAGTCCTTCAGAAGGGTTAACAAATGAGTTCTGAAAAGATTGGAATCTCAGCCGGTTTACACTTTTCGTCATAAACTCTTCCTATAGGTTCACAGAAGGGAGTCACTGGACATCAATTGCCAAGTGCCCAAACAGCTGGACTTCCTTTTTGCTTTTTTTCTAGGCCCACTTAAGAAGCTGTGGGGCCAACTGACCAGTCTGATGGCATATTGAAGGGTAGCGAGGCCCATTCAAGCATCAGTATTGTCTGACTCAGAGAAACTAGTATAAAACACAGACAGTCAAATACAGTCTTTTACTTGTGTAGAAAGGACAGTAAAAAGAGGCACTAGATGTTTATTTAGCTTTTGACAAATGTATGCCTTGAAAGGAGCAATGTGTTTTTATTCTGTGGATGCACCAAATAGCCCTTCTTGGAAATGATTGGGGGCATTCAAATAGGCAGAAATCCTCTGGTCAGCACAAACTTCAAGCTAGCAATTCTCAAGACAGCATGAAGCTGTTTTTTAGTGTCAGCTATGGTCAGAAGTGTGTGTTGTGGCATTTGGAAAAGGAATTAGGGCAGTTAGCTAATTGCACGCTTGAAAATGACAAGCCCCTTGAAAATTCAAAAGTCTGACTCCAATTCAAAAAGAAATTGGTGTAGCTTTGAACTCCAAAGTTGTTATTGTATACTGAATTTCAAGTACTTCCTATTAAACATGGAAAATTTGCTCTCCCGCCTAACCTTATCCTGAGTGTTTTGCTATTCTTAGCCCATGTTTTGAAGTGTTCTTGATTTAAAAGATGGAGAGAATGGGTTATATCAGTTATATTAATTTAATAAACAGCCGTGCTTTGCTGTGTAAGTATTTTCCATTTATATTCTGCAGTAGCGTTTGGGGTAAATTGTGAGCTTTCTAATCAGGGGCTATGAGTCAAGGAACAGCCTATTGGTTTCAGGAATCCTTAACACTTTATAATGGATCAACTAGGGTACTTTCAGCACATTTTCTTTATACACAGTTTAAAAAAATATGGGGCATTTTTTTTTTTTTCTTTTTTGAGACAGAGTCTCACTCTGTTACCGAGGCTGGAGTACAGTGGTGCAATCTCAGCCCACTGCAACCTCCACCTCCCAGATTCAAGTGATTCTTGGGCCTCAGCCTTCCTAGTAGCTGGGATTACAGGCATGTGCCACCATGCTTGGCTGATTTTTGTATTTTTAGTAGAGTTGGGGTTTCACCATGTTGGTCAGGCTGGTCTCAAACTCCTGATCTCAAGTGAGCTTAAGTGAGCCACCTGCCTTGGCCTCCCAAAGTGCTGAGATTACAGTCGTAAGCCACCACACCTGGCTGAGAAATTTTTATTAACTGTTCCAGAAGTGAAAAGATAAGATATCCTGACTCAAAATCAGTATTTTAAAAAACACAGTATTAAAAATAATATAGCATTAAAAAATACAGTATTTAAAAAAATACAGCATTAAAAAATACAGTATTTTAGAAAATGGAAGTGTTTAAGGTATTCTCTCTGTTGGAAAGAGATAGACATTTTATCTCTTCTGCTAAATATAGAGTAAAAAATCAGCAAATTTTTACATTTGAGAAACAAGCTTTTCTTCCTGACATTACCTTGGTTCTGTTGTTGACCCATGAAAGCTAGTAATGGAGTAGGCCTGGGTCCTCAATGAGAATGTTCCAGATGCAATGCAGAGTTTAAGGTCTAAATAGAGACACCCCAAATCAACCATTTGACTATTAAGTGTGGATTCAATGTTGTGCTTGTGCTTTTTGTTATTTACTTAGCATGTTACATTGTTCCAACGATAGAGGAGAATTTCTGGTTTTTGATATGCTTTGAACAATAGTGGGAAATTCATGGCTTTTAGCCTGTTTGTTTTTTTTACTAGGGTCTGTGTGCAAGTCAGCAATGCTCCTGGGATCACAGTACTTCTTCCGTGTTTCTTTCTAGGTAAACTAGCTCCTGAACTTAGAAAGAAACACTTTTGCTTCCTGGAGCTGAGGGTGGGAGACGGTTGTGGTGAGAATGTGCTTAAAAACAGACAAACCAGCTGGAGATGCTTGTTTTAAGTGAAGGGAACAAGAGGAGCAACAAGGAGGGAGTCCGCCTATTGCACATAGCGCAGCGTTTCTTAATCTCTGCACTATTGACATTTTGGGCAAGTTTGTTCTTTTTTGTGGGGGATTATAGAATGTTTAGCAACATCCCTGGCCTCTACCTACTAGGTGCCAGTAACACCCTGCCACCAGATATAACAACCTGCAGTTGAGAACCACCCATGTAGACTCTCAGTATCTAGGTACATACAAAGCCATCAGTGGGAGTTCCAAGGACTCATTCATTTCACCCAGCACACATTCCCATGTCAATCTGACTTTGCCAGCTGTTAATTCCTCTTTCTAATGCGCTCTTATTTTTATCTTCAGTTGAGATGAAACTTTCTCTCATAGGTTGTCTGGTCACTGAGGTCACTAGGTCCTAGGTCTGCCCTCAGTTCCAGGTTGAAACATCTGTCCTCACCTCTACCTGTACCCTGTCTCAGGTTCCCTGGCTTCCACCCACAGCATTGCCTGGAATAAACTGGTAGGCTGCTTTCAAATTGTTTTGGTTCAAAAACTTTTAAAAAAAATTTTTTTATTTCGTTTTAAACCACAGTTTCTTGAAGGGCCTGAACGACTTCACTCTCTCATGGTTCTGTACCTTACCCGTGTCATGCTTAGATTCTGAAGGTGAGGCAGAGCTCACGTCACACATACTAGGTCTCATTTGCTCAAAATGATCCATTAGCTCAAATCCCAGAACCTAATAATCAGTTACATTTTGATTCCTCCAACTCTAGGCAAAATTCCTTTCCATTCCGATGCTAGGCAAAGTTCCTTTCCATTCATGTATGATTTTGTGGTCCACAGGGCATGGGAGTCTGTAGGTTGTGTTGCAAATCATAGTTTTCAAAATCATCTTTTTCTCCATTCTGTAACCTGGGATTCTACCTCCAAGTAAATTGTTTTATTTTCTTCCTGTTTTTTTGTTTTTCATTTTAAGGTCAGGGTTGGATAGAGGATGGGGATGGGCTGAGGATGGGGTGATGGGTTGGTCTCTTCATCTTGCAGTTTTATTATTGTTAAATAAGTAACAGCACTTATTGCCTCCGGTATGAAATGTTATTAAATGTCTGTGTCAATGGAAAGCAGAATAACCAGAAGTGACTTGACAGGAGTGCATGACCATGAAGTATTTCTAACAAGAGTAATTGCTGTCACTGAGTGCACTATCTCTTTTATCAGCTGTTGTAAACAAGTCTTACTACCTTTGTCATAAACAAGTAGTATTACCCTAGAAATGTTATGGGGGACCGGGCTCCGTGGCTCACGGCACAGTGGCTCACACCTGTAATCCCAGCACTTTGGCAGGCTAAGGCAGGTGGAACACTTGAGCCTAGGAGTTCGAGACCAGCCTGGGCAACGTGGTGAAACTCTCTCTCTACAAAAATTAGCCAGGCATGGTGGCACATGCCTGTAATCCCAGCTTTAAAAGGCTGAGGCAGGAAGATCACCTGAGTCTGGGGAGGTGAAGGCTGCAGTGAGCCGAGATTGCACTCCAGCCCCTGCACTCCAGCCTGGGGTAGAGAGCCAGACCCTGTCTCAAGGAAAAGAAAATAAATATTAGGGGCTTATTGCTTCTATCTCAGGTGGGTTTGGTTAGGATTATATAAAAGCAAATCATACATTCATGGGAAACAGAAGCAAAAAGAACCAGGTATTTGACAGTGAAGAGGTAACAAACACAGTATAAAAAACACCTGTCAATTTCTTTGTCTGTGGAAATGGCATTAAAAGCTGCTTTGAAGGAAAGTAGATATTTCTGAAATATAATGGCTATAGATCAGAAAAATTTGTGTCATTAGTAAAGTGTTAAAAGGAAAGTGTGTGCACACACACACACACACACACACACCTATTTTTCCCTTTAAGGTACAACCAGCGTGATTTAAAACAATACATAAATGTAACAGAAGCGGAAAGTCAAGATAGGAGACCTGTGTTTTCAATACACTTTTAAAGCTGATTATGTTTACTGTTTTATAAGTTCTGAAATCCTTGTCTAATGAAAATACATGTGGCTTCTAGATTTTAATATGTTTAATTTTTTTTCTTTAAGCTTAAAGAAGAATTCCAAAGAACGGCCTACATACCCAGAGCTAATGGTGAGTATTGTTAGCAATATAAACATGACTATACTAATAGCTATAAAAGGCAAAGTCACTAAGACCTAAATTATCATCACATAACCATATTCAAAGAGTTGGTTCATTGAAACATCAGTGACAGGAATTGAACTCCAGGAAAGAGAGTTAAAGAGTTCATCCTACCTCCTTCTTTAAATAGACTGGGACCTATCACTATTCTTAGCAGTTTTTTCCAGGCTGATAAACCTGTCATGATATACAGCAAATTATGCATATGAAATTTATATTTTTGAATTTAAAAGATACTAGGAGCCACATATTACTAAGATAAAATTAAGGAAAGCATGATTTAAGAGATTTCAATAATGAAAAAAACTTAAATGCTATCTGATCAATTTTTGATAAAATATCTGGGCTAAATTAGATGAACAACTTTTTGGTAGGTAGCTAGGGAGGAAAAAAATTTTTTTCTTCTTGTTTTTACTTTGGTGGAAAAAAGTAAGACTAAGTATTATTAGTTTGAATTATACTACCTCAGCATTCACAGTTTATCTCTTGCTATATCTATAAAAAGCAAGAGTGAAAGTAAGATCTCAGCATTGTTGTATTAAAATAACTTCTTTTAAATTGTGGTAACTATAGGTAGGGCACATATAGGTAGGGCACAGCACATCATACCTGTAATCCCAGCATCCTGGGAGGGCGAGGTGGGCAGGTTGTTTGAGCCCAGGAGTTGGAGACCAGCCTGGGCAACATGATGAAACCCTGCCTCTACAAAAAGTACAAAAAATTAGCCAGACTTGGTGGCATTTGCCTGTAACTCCAGCTACTCAGGAGGCCAAGGTGAGAGGATCACTTGAGCCCTGGAAGTTAAGACTGCAGTGTGCCGTGATTGAGCCACTGAATTCCAGCCTGAGTGACAGAATGAGACCCTGTCTCAAAGAAAAAAAATTCTGGTAACTACAATTGTAAGCTAATTACTAATGATTCTAAGCTAAATGCAAACGGCAAGGACCTAAACTTGGCAATGCTTTGCTTTATCTAAGTATATGTCGAATGTAGAAGAAACACATTTTTTGGGGGGGAGAAATATATAAAATTGAGACTATTTTCTAATTTGTGTTAACTCTTCCTGAGATTTGTTTCAGTTATCAAGGTTTTCATTTTAATAGGGGAAAGAAGAGTTATGTTCATGCAAAATTTCTTTCTTTTTTTTTTTTTTTTGAGACAGAACAGAGTTTTTGTTTTTTTTCCCAGGCTGGAGTGCAATGGCGCGATCTTGGTTCACCGCAACCTCCGCCTCCTGGGTTCAGGCAATTCTCCTGCCTCAGCCTCCTGAGTAGCTGGGATTACAGGCACGTACCACCATGCCCAGCTAATTTTTCGTATTTTTAGTAGAGACGGGGTTTCACCATGTTGACCAGGATGGTCTCGATCTCTTGACCTCGTGATCCACCCGCCTCGGCCTCCCAAAGTGCTGGGATTACAGGCGTGAGCCACTGCGCCCGGCCGCAAAATTTCTAAGGCAATAAAACACTGACACCCTTTCTTACTGGAACACAGTTATTCGACAGGCAATAAATGCTTGCTCCTATCCTCTCCCAGCCACAAGCACTGCGGTCTTGAAGACCAACTCAGGGCATGTCTTAGAAGCACAGATTTCTAGTGTCAAATGCTGTGATTAGGTGGCTTAGATATGAGGAAGCACAGCTTGGTAATGTCAAGTCAGGAAGAGTTATAGAAAGTTGATCAGAAAGATGCATGATAGTTACAGTCAAGCACATAGGTTTTCAGTTCTGTTGCTTAAGCTTTGATTGACGATTGAACCGTTTTCCAACTGGATGAATTTGGAGACAAAGCCATCTCCTGGGGCCTCCATTGGGTCCATTAAAAGTCAACCCCTGGTGCTCAGCACTCTACCAGCTTTATTCAACTGAAACTCACAGTTAAAGAAGGAAATATGAGTAATGTTTGAGAAAATCCTAGCATGCTACATGTTTAGGTTGAATATTTTCTCCCTGATTATTTTTTTAATAGCCAGTTAGAGGCTTTTTTGGTTCTGTCTACTCTTTTTTAATGTGTTTATGTACCTGCTAGGGCATTTTAAAATTAATTTCACATAAAGTACAATAGATATAGACTTATTCTTGTAGGATACTATGGAGCCTGTAATCCTATTTTATTTATTTATTTTTAAATTTTTACTTTTTAGAGATGGAGTCTTGTTATGTTGCCCAGGCTGGTCTCGAGTTCCTGGGCTCAAATGATCCTCCTGTCTGGGTCCCCCAAGCAGCTGGGCCTACAAGTGTGCACCTGTATTCCTATTTTAAAGTTGCCTTGTTTTGTAACTAATTTCATATAAGAAGAACATTTTCTATTTATTTATGGCTATTTAAAATACAGAACTTTTTTTCTTCTTCCAAGTGGTTTCTGATCAGAAATTTCACTGAAACATGCTTGAGAAAAAGAATGCTTAATATACATGGGCAGCTAATGTCAAATTCTATATATGCAATATGCTATAACACTATGATATTTTATGGCCTACAGATATATTAATGTTATAAAATCATGTCGGTACCCCTTTTCTTCTTTCAGCATTAGCCTTTGTGGTACTGGAAATGGACTTGCCTTTTAAGACTGTAACTGTTCCCTGTTTTCCTGTGGAATTGAGGTTTTCAAATGGAAAACCTGAGTCCAAACTCCCTGACTTTAGCATTGGTAAAACACTTGCTGAGAGGCTATTGTTTAGATTTTAGGAGTTGGTGAGGAAGTATGAAGGAAAAAAAATCCTTTTTTCCGGGTAAAGGACAGTTTAATTAAGGCCTTAACCTAGACATATCCCTCTTTAGAAATCCCAAATGTTCCTCTCCCTAACTCAGATTGAAGGGTATATACTCTTTAAGATCATCTCATTTGCTTGTTCTCTCAAATGTCACTGGGGAGTATGACTCAGTAGAATATGTTTCTCTAAAGTAGGTAGCAGCCAACTTTTTCTGTAAAGGGCTAAATAGTAAGTATTTTAGTCTTTGTAGGCCATACAGTTGCTGTTACAAAATGACTCAATTCAGCGGCTGCGATGTGAAAGTACCCATATCCAATGTGTTAAGAAAAACAAAACAAAACCAAACAAAAATAAATGGGGTGTGTGTGTCTGTATTCCAATAAAACTTTATTTAAAAAACAGGCAGTGGGCTAAATTTGGCCTCTGGGTCCTAGGTAGCTGATCCCTGTCCTAAATGGTAATCACCAGAAATAGTAACCAGTTCATTCAAGTGATTGCTCAGTGAAGTGATTATGTTCTCCAATTATCCTAGGAAGTTCTAGATTGAATTGTATGTTAAACAAAGATGCCTGAACCCTTTCAAAACTATAGTCTTAAGGGACGAGGTGCTGCGCATGGGACAGGGAGACCTGCTGGTGACTGCAGCTTATCTATCTAGTCCTGACAGTACATTCATGGATCTCCATGTTTTCTGCAGGCACAGCAGTGAGCCTAAATGTTGCAAAGTCCTCCCTTCTTTTCTCTCTGGCTCCTCTTTTGGGAAACCCAGCCTGGGACTATAGTCTGAATATTATTCATGGCTCTTCTTTTGCCCATTTCCTGGTTGCTGCCCTTGCTACTCTTAATTCATTGCTTATAGAAGGGTCTGGGTTCCCTCTTACCTTTCATAGCCTCAAAACCCTCACAAGAAGGCAAGTCACACTTTCCATTTGACATGCCTACCTGTTTTCTCCTTCCCCTGCCCTATGGCTCTCATAGCATTTTCTCAGCCTGGGAATAAATGGAAAGATGCCTGGGGATTTTTTTTTTTTTTTTTCAATTAAAGACTTCAAGTCAGGTTATTTAATTCGTTTGCAGACTTAGGCTACATCCATTGAGCTAATAGACATTAGCAGAACAAAAGGCAAAGTGAGGCTGGCAGGTGTTGGAAGCAGTCACTAAGATAATCTGAGGTTTGGCGTGTCCTGTTTTGATAGTAAAATCTTTTAAGTACATTTAAAGACTTCCAAATGTCAAGAGGATGTGGGAAAACTAATAAGCATGATGGTAGAACCTTTGGTAAGTGTACTGTGTATGTGGTTAGTAATCAGAAGTATGACTGCTATTTAGTTTTTGAGGGAGTTCAGGAGAAACCACCTAGCTCCCAGAGCTTCAGTTGATTTCATGAGTGTAAGGATCTGAGCCAGCACCCAACCTGTGTCCTCAGATGGGCAAAGGGAGAAAATCTCTTTTCCATTTTCTGAGTCATGATTCTTAATCATGACCAGATATCTTCTCTGAGGTTTTTATTTTCTTGTTCCTTTTTCATTTGCATTGTTTCCTAAAACTTCCATGGGTGGGAACTCAGTTTTCCATGGAGCTGACTCACCCAACCCTCCACTGTCAGGTTTAAAACAAATATAATTAGAAAACCTACAGCTGGGCAACATAAAGGTTGTAAACTAAACTCCCTAAAGTTAGGGGAAACAGAGTGAGTCACCTACATGTCTGCTTGTAAAAATGCTTACATTTAGCCACTCAATTGGTCATTGAAAATAGTACTACCAGACAATCAAGGAAGTGAGCATGGGAGGTGAGGAGGGACATGTGGGACTAAGTTCTACCTGTAGGATTGTTCTTTTTGGGTAGGTTTGGTTGGTTCTATTTCCACTGTAAGAACTGTGGATCATGACCTGATGGATCTTTCTAAGTAGAGGAGGCAGGTTCCACTGTGACAGCTGGGGATTTATTATAACAAAATTGAGCAATTTGGGGAGAATTGTTCTAGCGCAGAGAAAATGGCTTCCTGTTCAGAATTGTTTTGAAATGCATGGCCTCTTGAATCACATATCGTGCCTGTTCCCCTAGCAAAGCACAAGACTTGAGTTTACCAATCTGAGCTGTGTGGATAGAGACCCTTCTTTTCCCTTTTCAATCTTTAATCTCTGAGTTCAATGTTCTCTGCACATACCTAGAGTTTTGCAATCTACATTATTTTTCAGATGGATCAACTCTTCATCAGGAGAGACATAGGTATAACTCATGGCTTGGGAAATGGTTTTAACTGTTTCAGTCTAAACCGATTCTCCAATGTCAAGGGAAGGGGCTACCTTCCTTCCACATTTACTGTTCAACAAAATTGCTTTCTTAGTCTACCATCCTTTTCCTGAGAAATAAAAGTGTATACACCTATGAATTGTCTTATTCTCTTACTACTGTATCAGTCTAAAATGACTTTGTGGGGCTCAGGGCTATTTGTGAATCAGAGTTTTGGATGGTTTTTGTCAGTCTTTGTATTTTGCTGTAGATAGGACTTACATTTATACCTTTTTTTTTTTTTTATTTTTTTTATTTTTTAGAATAGACTATAGTGGAAAATTAGAGGTATCAAGATGGAAAGAGTGGCAACTAAGAGATATCTTTAAAACGTTTGCATCACTTGATATGTGCTTGATTTTGGAAAGGGTAGGAAGAGCCCAGCCTAGCTCTGATAGGGATAATTAATCCCTGTAACAAGCAGATCTATTAATTTGCTAATTGTGTATATTGTTTGTCAGTGACAAATATTAATACCACATTTTTTCTTTTTCTTTCCTAGCAACATCCATTTTTCACCCTACATGAATCCAAAGCAACAGATGTGGCATCTTTTGTAAAACTGATTCTTGGAGACTAAAAAGCAATGGACTTAATTGGTTGACCCTACTGTGGATTGGTGGGTTTCGGGTGAAGCAAGTTCACTACAGCATCAATAGAAAGTCATCTTTGAGATAATTTAACCCTGCCTCTCAGAGGGTTTTCTCTCCCCATTTTCTTTTTATTGCCCCTCTTAAGAGGGTCTTGGAATCTATAGTATAGAATGAACTGTCTAGATGGATGAATTATCATAAAAGCTTAGGACTTAAAAAGGTGATTAAATATTTAATGATGTGTCATATGAGTCCTTAAGCTTCTCAGACTTCTCTTATTCTTTACAAAATGAATGCATTGGCCCTGACAAAAAGGTGCTACAGTAGTGATGAGATTATAAGTAGACTTGTAGTTTGTCCCATTTATTATTTTAATATTTATGTTTAAGTGTTTGGTTGAAAAGATTCCATTTTATACAAGAAGGGAGATTAAAAAAAAAAGACAAGGTTGGGTTGGCAATATTTATAGGGCTTTTATTTTTTAAGTTCAATTGTGTCTGTGGTCCAGAAGAAATTATTTAATACGCATCTTTGAGAATATTATAAAAATATCAAAAAGGAGTTGTTCTTGTGAAATGTCTGTTCCAGCTGTTGTGACTGCTGCCATTTTTGCAAACATCTGCTCAATCCTGGGTGATCACGACATCTTTTAGGGGAAGTGGCAAGATATTCTGGTCATACTCTTTTCCCAACTTTGGAATACATAAAAATCACTCATATCACCTCTCAAAGAGTAAAACATTTGGTTCTCCTGACACTTCTGGTATAGTATTATCGGAAAGTGATTAGTAATATGATTTCATATCCATTTACCTTTTCATCTACCTGTGTGTGTGTTGTTTGTGTGTATATTTGGCAATTCACAAGTCCTGCCAAGTGGTTTCTATGAGCATCTCTATTTGGTAAGGAGGACATTTGTCAGTTTTGAGGGGAGATGTGTTAAACCACAGAAAAAAATGGTGCCTTCTTCTGCGTTTGTCCCTCCTACCATGTGCAAGTTTCAAGGATTGCCTTTGTAGTTAATGTACTCAGTGGCTTTGTTTGTTTTGTTGTTCAGTAAAGAAGCTTTACTATTTATAGAAGGGCTACAATAGGAGAAAATTAAAAGCAGTAATTCTTTGATAAGATGAGGAAATAATAGGAAAGGTTGAATTAATTCCTAGGAATGGACTACCACATGTCCAAGAGTTGAGGCCATATCTTTCTTCAGCAGCATGCAATCGCTGGCTCCTCTATAGGAGATCAGCTTCATTGGGAACTCCTAGCAGGTTGACTAAGCAACAAAAGTTCTTTCTCATGGCTGAATATACCCTCTGGTTCTCTGATTTGTATCCCTAGGTTTCGTGATGATCAAGGAGTAAAGTAATTGACAGGAAAAATATAGACCTGTGATGAATAACCAGGACCATTTTGGACAAGGAAGGACAGAGGGTTTTGATTTTAAAAAGAAGGAAAAAAACCCCTACTTTTTCTTTCTTGGCCCCAAGTTCAATATGGAGGGGATTGCTTCCCTGAGTCCTCCCTTCCTTCCCCTTTTAGATTTTGAAGTGCAATCATATATTTTTCTCTGCCTTTTTTCCTCCTTGTTCTTGACAAGGAGGAGTTTCTCAGCCCAGATTGAGTGTGACACTTCCACCACTTCTTCATATTCAGTTCAAAGATATATCTGTTTTATTAAACATCAGCTTCCTTTGCTCTAACGCTACCTCTGTCCTCATTTTATTCTAGCCAGAAAACAAATATCACCCTAGTGATTATCGCTGTTCACTTTCCCATCTATTTTCCTAAATCTGGAAGTTCTTCTTGAGATCAAGAGAAAAACTGCAGTTGTATTCCTTACTTTATTCACCCATCTGTGAAAACAGGAAGCAATAGGAAAAATATCCGGTTACTCCATTTTAGCTTTTGGTGAACTATTTAAAACAAATTGTCTCTCTGATCTGGGTCAGATTACTCTTACCTGTTTTTCCACTTTGAGACATTCTAAATCAAATATGTAACTTATCCTATGTATGCCTCTCCAGTCTGTGAACCTAGGCCAAACTTGCAAAAACAATCATATTCATAGTAGGGTAGAGAAAAAGTTAGTCTGTGGTTCTCAACCCTGCTGCACATTGGAATCATCTGGGAGCTGTGAACACTGTCATTGCCAATGTTTTAGACATCAGAGATTTGAATTTAACTCGTGGTGCCTAGGAATTCGTGTTTTTTGTTTGTTTGTTTGTTTCGGTTTTTTTACAGACCTTTGTGTGATTCTGATATGAAGCAGGGTTCAGAACACTGATCTAGTATTTTCTAAAGAGAACTGTCTTAAATTTACTTTCTTTTGGACATTTGCAGAGAGTAATGTGCCATTGCAGAGAGTAACAAGAACAGGTCCTATTTCTTTCCCTTTCCTCATCAGTAGAAATATCTTTATCACTGTGAGGGAAGGCATGTTCCTGGGATACTGATTGGAAGTGTAGAACACCTTTTCCCCGAAGAAGCTATATTCTGCACAGTGATTAAATATCTTAATGTGCTAAAGTAAAAAAAAAAAGTGACTTGATAGCCTCACGAGACTAAATTTTACAGCATGGTTTTGTTTTTGGAGAACTGTGTTGTAAGTTCCAATCAACCAACTTTTAAAAAAGTCAATATACCTAAACTATATATAAATTAGGAGTATACCGTACATATAGACATATATGTAAAGATATCTATATTCATGGATGACCCTCAAAATATCTGATGCTCAACCCAGCATAGACCATCTGAATATCAGCCCTGTCTACACCTGTCAGTGTATCACAAAATCAGCATGACTCTACAAGGGTCATGCTCATTTCCCCAAATGTATTTGATTTTGTATCATATAATTGTCCATGTTATAATTTTTGAAAATATTTATTAAAATAGCCATTTCTCTTTTGATATTGTTTTAATAGGTGTACCAAAAAAGCAATATGCATAACTTGTACATTGCCCTGTGTGTGTACATATCAATGAATTCTGCCCTCCAGTGTAGTCACCTTGAGAGACTACATATTTATATAAATAATACTGTTAAACTATTTTTGCCACTTTTCTTTCAGAAAAGCTTTAGAATCCATTCCCCCCCTCCAAGATGTGTGTCATCATTTGAGAATTATTACGAAGGTCTTATTGTTGTTTGTTTTGCTTTTTACAACAATCCTTACCAGGTGTTTCCCTTTTTGATTTACCTGCCTTTTTGAAAATCAGATTTAACAGGAAGTTGTGTTTGACAGTTTCTAGAAGTTAAATCTTCCCTCAGAGTTGGAGTTTTAGCATCACTGAATCTTTGTAAAACACCATGTCATGGGCTCTGAAGATAATTTCTAATGAAGATTTCTACCCCCCTGCCCAAAATATATGATTATTTTTAAGCAGTCATTCTTCCTCTGGAATAAGTCTCCCAAAATGATGACTTTGAAGGAGACAGAACTCCCATAAAGGTAGGTATTCATTGATAAAATATCAGGTAGTTACGGATTTTGCATGTGAAAGCACCTATTTTTTATGGTTGGAGGCCCTGATGTGGGGGAATAATCTATTATTCTAAAGACTGTGTTTGGTCACACTGATTTAATCAGAACAAATGGGTTAAGTTAGCAGCTTCTATCACAGTGAAGCCATCTGAAAGGGAAACGAGTATGTGTGGGCATGGCTCAAAATTGTTTGTATTTTACAGTTCTTGTATATTCTTCAAGCCTAACAAAAAATTCTATGTGCCAGAGCTTCCTAAACTTTCTGTGTTTGTGGTGCCATTAGTCATCTTAGTAATTTTTTTCATGGTACCCCAGGCCAAAATAAATACTTAATAGTTCAGTGTTTTAAACAATTAGGTCCCAACAGCTTAATAATAGCAGTTTGCACAGTGTCCTGCATATGTCACTATGTTTCCCTTAAAAATTTCCAACATTGGCCTGTAATCCCAGCACTTTGGGAGGCTGAGGCGTGTGCATCACCTGAGGTCAGGAGTTTGAGACCAGCCTGACCAACATGATGAAATACAAAATACTAAAAATACAAAAATTAGCCGGGCATGGTAAAAATACGCCATTGTACTCCATCCAACCTGGGCAACAAGAGTGAAACTCCATCTCAAAAAAAAAAAAAAATTTACAACATCTTGCTAGGCCTGTGAGTATGCTGTGGTGTTTCAGGATATCTCAGTACATAATTTGGGGACCACAGATATCTATTATGCCAATGTTGGCACTGTCCGCTGTTGGTGACCCTCAAATGGAATTCATGGCCACTCAACTCTCCATATTATTTCACTCTTTGTTTTGTTATTATTTATATATATATATATATATATATATATATATATATATATATATATATTGAGATGGAATCTTGCTCTGTCGCCCAGGCTGGAGTGCAGTGGCGCCGTCTCGGCTCACTGCAACCTCCACCTCCCGGTTTCAAGTGATTCTCCTGCCTTAGCTTCCCAAGTAGCTGGGACTGCAGGCGCGCGCCACCACGTCCAGCTAATTTTTGTATTTGTAGTAGAGATAGGATTTTACCATGTTGGCCGGGATGGTCTCCATCACCTGACCTCGTGATCTGCACTCCTCGGCCTTCCAAAGTGCTGGGATTACAGGCGTGAGCCACCGCACCTGGCTGGCTAATTCATTTTTTAACTGTAACCCAACTCTGCTTTGCTGTTCCTCAGTCCTGCAATGTCCTGCAATGCCATAGTGTTGTAGTCTAGAAAGTCGCAATACTCATAAGCCCCAGCATCGGAGGAGGCTGGTAGTAAGATGGCCAGGGTTCTTGATTTCTCCCATTGAACTTGATTTAGTGTCTTGGGAATTATAATCTCAAAGGAGGCAGAGAGGGGTTAATTTTTCATAGTTTATCACTAAAATGCCTTTGTTGACCAAGGGTTTTATTAGCTATGCTCAGAGAAATAACTCTGTTTCTCTTAAAAGTGTCTAACAAAACACTTTTTTCTTTGGCCTGAAAGGACAATGGATACCTAGTTCCTAATTTCCCACCCAAATGCTGTTTTGGCTATGTTACTCCCTATGACCTTGAAGGTAAGATTTGTATATTTACAAAAGTTATTGGAGCTGGTAGTCAGATCTAGTAAAATTAATTAAATGTCTATTGTGCTGCAATTTTGCCGCCTTAACATCTATCTATGACTTGAAGAGGGACTTGTTGGCTCAAAGGATCTTCTGCTTTTAATGAGTTAGCAAGTGAAAAGGTATTCAAATAAATGTAACTTCATAGGACTTAATTTTTTTTTTTTAACTTTTCAAATGGTAGGTGCAGTTTTCATTTAGGCCTCTGGAAATTTGCATAGTCAGATGGAAAAATGCCAGAGTAAAATCTAGGAAGAGGGAGCTACCAGACCCGATAGAATAGAAAGAAAGCTTTTTTTTTTTTTTTTTTTTTTTTTGAGATGGAGTTTCGCTTTTGTTACCCAGGCTGGAGTGCAATGGCGCGATCTTGGCTCACCGCAACCTCTGCCTCCTGGGTTCAGGCAATTCTCCTGCCTCAACCTCCTGAGTAGCTGGGATTACAGGCACGCGCCACCATGCCCAGCTAATGTTTTGTATTTTTAGTAGAGACGGGTTTCACCATGTTGACCAGGATGGTCTCGATCTCTTGACCTCGTGATCCACCTGCCTCAGCCTCCCAAAGTGCTGGGATTACAGGCTTGAGCCACCGTGCTCAGCCCCAAAAGAAAGCTATTTTATTCTAGGACTCTGTTCCTCTTGTGTTAGATTGGCTGTAGCGCTATTAAATGTGCTGACAGCTAAAGATGCTCTTTGGGTTTTTTTTTTTTTTTTTTTTTGACTTTAATTGGGGTACTGTGGATTCTTTTGGGTATCTGTTGACAGCTAGGACCTTTTCCCTAGGAAAACTTAGAATGTTAATTTTGCAAACTTCTTTTGTTGGGAGGGGGTTGCAATTGACATACCCCATAGTAAATTTCAATTGTGAGGGGCCTATGCAAAACGCCCCATAGGATCAGTAGCTGTGTTCTGTAGAATGTTGACTGTGACATCCTAGACCAGTGTTGGCAAACTTTTTCTGTAAAGGACCAGATAGTAAATATTTACGGTTTTGTGTTTTATACAGTCTTTATTACAGTTACTTATCTCTGCTCTTGTACCATGAAAGCATCTACAAATAATACAGAAATGAATGAGCCTGGTGGCTGTGTTCCAATAAAACTTTGTTTACAAACCAAGCAATGGGCCAAATTTGGCCCACAGGCCATGGTTTGCCAACACCTGTTTTAGAACATTAAATATAAAGCTCTAATTGATTTACTAGATGTGTAGAGTACTTCCATTTTAGTGACTATTGAGCTTAGCTGCTGTTGAGGCAGATTAGGAAAATGGACATAGGAAACTGAATTTAGAAAGGATGAGGACTGTTTAGTCCCATGAAAATTGCTTGTTAAATTCCTCAGGTAAGTATGAATTGTTCTGGAAGCTGATAGAACAGTTTTCTTCAGATCAAACTGAGTACTTACTTTTTCCATTTCTATGCAATCACCCACATAATTTACTTCAATTTGGAAATAAGTGTCACACTTCTCTTAGTTGTTAACTATATCCTTGGATTAGGTTATTTGCATTTTCTTTCTTTCTGTAGTGTGGTTTATACACAAGAAGAATCATGAATCCAGATACTAGTCAATTTGTTTCTCTATTCCCTGAACTGTACTGAGATTGGGGAATTTGGGAGGTCAGACTTACCTCAAACAAAGAAGAAGGCACATAGAATTCTTAACATTTTCCAACTCATTCATCTCAATTATTTGTTCACACTTTAAAGAAGTAGGAAAGAGTAGTTTGAAGTCCGAATATTTGTTCTCAGGTGTTCTTTGAGTTCCCTGTTCTCACTGCAAAAGAAGACTCAGGCCTACTCCTTTTGTGCTGCCCCAGGGATGTGAGAGGAGTACTTCTTTTAATCACCAGTAACTTTCAACTTTAAGGGGCCTTTGCAAAATGCCTCCTTTCTGATGTAATTTTCTTGGGTTGCTGGCCCTAGTTGAATTTCTGGGCCCTGTAGCCTCTACTGGAAGTCCTGTCTTCTCTATAGAACCAGAACAGGTGTGTAATTTGCTTCACCTTCGGTTAGCACTTGCACCCCATACAGAATGCTATAAAAATGACTGTCTTCTAGTGACCAAAGCTTTCTCATTTTTTTTTTCTTCCAGAACAATAGAACACATTTTGGTTAAAGCTATAGTCTCTTTATTATTTAGAAACATTCTTTTTCTTGCTGCACCATTAGGCAAATATACATTATGCTTAGAATGATACTTGGAGACTCCTTAATAGGGCATATTGAAGTATTTGATCTGGAAGTTTACCTAAAAGAATGTTTTCTCTTCACCTAGGGAAACAAAACCTGAATTCCAGAGCCTTCAAAATGAAATTATCCTTCCAGGGGAAGCACACTGCCACCAAATACATCACTCACCAGCTGTTCCTGGTGTTATTTTTCTGAGGTTTAGAGAGTCATTGTTTACAGCTATGCAAATATCATTGTACCATTACAGATTTT